TGGAACGACGGCGCGTGGTTTCGGGCGACCGTCGCGGGCGTCGGCGGCGCGGGCGAGGGCCGGCGGGGCCGGCCGCGCGACCTCGTCTACGACGGCGGCGAGAAGGAGGAGAGCGTCGCGGCGCACCTCCTGCGGCGGCCCATGGTGGCCGTACGCGGCGCGCCGTGGTTCGCCGCGCGCCGCGACTGCGTCGCGGCCGGCGGCGCGCGCGTGCTCCTCGAGGGCCTGGGCGGCGCACCGGGGGCCTGGGTCGCCGAGGAGGATTGTGTTTACCTCGGCTCCGGCGACCGCGTCGCCGCGCTCAGCGCGCAGCGCGGCCGGCCGGCCGACGGGCCCGCCGGGGACGCGGCCGCGGCGCCCGCGGCCCCCGACGCCGCGGCGCGGCGGCGCGAGGACCGGGAGCAGCGCCTCGCGGCCCGCAACGGCGCCGAGGGCGCGGACGCGCCGGACGACGGCGCGCGCGGCGGCGACGACGACGCGGAGCTCCGGTCGTTGAAGGCCGAGGTCGGCGAGCGCCTGCTCCTCTGGCGCGAGAAGTGGCCGCGGTGCACCAAGGCCCAGTTCGCGGCGGCCATCGGCTGCTCCGGGTCGGACCTCCTGCGCTGGGAGAACGGCGCGGCGACGACGGGCGTCGGCGCGCGGACGCGGCGCGCGATCGAAGGCGCGCTCGACGCGGGGCGCCTCGACGCGCCGGACGTGGACCCGGACACGCTCTACGCGCGGTCCGCGAGCTCGTCGACCAAGGGCTCGAGCCCGCGGCGCGGCGGCCCGGGCAAGCGGCGCCGGCGGCCCGGCGCGGCCGCCGCGCGCGGCCGCGCCGGCGACGGGCCCGAGAAGCGGCGGCGCCGGCCGTCGAGCGGCGGCGGCGCGTTCCTCGGCGTGCGCCGCGAGGGCGACGCCTGGCGCGCGGTCCACGCCGGCGACGGCGGCGGCGACGTCGACCTCGGCCTCTACGCGACGGACGTCGCGGCCGCGCGCGCGCGCGACTGGGCGGCGCTCGTCGCCGCGGCGTTCCCCGGCCGCGGCGCGGCGCCGCCGGACCCGGGCGGGCGCGCCGCGCGCGCCGTCGTCGACGTGCCCGCGCGCGCGCTCAACTTCCGCGACTCCGTGGACTGGTTCGCGAGCCACGGGCCGCGGGACGCCGCGGACGCGTCGCCGCGGCCCCCGGCGCGCTTCTTCGCGGCCGGCGGCGACGACGACCGCGGCGGCGGGCCCTGGCTCGCCGCGCGGTCGGCGCCCGCGCGCGGCGCGGACGGCGCGGCCGCGTGCCCGGCCGTCGGCGACGCGGCCGCGCCCGCGGCCGCGGAGCCCGTCTTCGCGCCGGAGGCGGGCGGCGACGGCGCGCTCGGCGCGTTCCTGCGCGCCGCGGCGTCGGCCGTGGGCGGCGGCGAGCTCGCGGCCGCGGCCGCGTGGCAGGCGGCCGCGCGCGACGGCGCGGCCGCGCTCGCGCTGCTCCGCGCGGCGCCGGAGGCGCCGGAGGGCGAGGCGCTCCGGCGCCTCCTCTCCGCCGCGCGGCCGCCGCTGGACGCGTGCGACGTGCGCGTCGTCGACTCGGCGCCGTCGAGCCGCGAGCCGTCGCCCGCGCGGCGGTCGCCGCGCGCCGACGCCGACAAGCGCGAGCCGCCGCGCGCGCGCGCGGCGTCGAGCCGCGCGGCGTCGGGCCGCGCGCGCGAGGCGCTGCTCCTCGCCGTCGGCGGCCGGAAGCGGGCCGACGCGCCGGAGGCCGAGGACGCGGCCGCGGGCTACTCCGTGGGCTCGCACGGTTTGCACGTCGCGCTGAGCCTCGGGGCCGCGCCCGCGCCGCCGAGCCCCGGCGACGCGCACCGCGGCGCGCCGCGGTCCGCGCGGGGCGCGCGGCGCGAGCGCGCCGTCGACGCGACGCTCGCAGGCTGCCGGCCGAAGCCGCGCGCGAAGCCCCTGCTCGTCGCGCCGGGCGGGACCGAGGCGCTCGGCGGGCCGCGCGCGCCGACCTGGGACGACCTGCCGGACCACGCGCGGCAGCACCCGGGCTGGCGCCTCAAGCCGGGCGTCGTGCCGCCGCCGCCGCCGGACCTCGACCTCGAGCCGCCGGACTGCCTGCCGCGCGCGGACGACGGCGACCGCGCGCGCGGCGCCTTCGCGCCCGCCGCGGCCC